GCGTCGCGCTGCCCCGCGCACGCCCTGCCCTGCGTCGCGCTGCCCGCGCGCGCCCTGCTCTGCGTCGCACCGCCCTCGCTCGCCGCGCGCCCTGCCCTGCCCGCGCGCCGCTCGCCGCCGCGCGCCCTGCCCTGTCCACGCGCCCTGCCCTGCCCGCGCGCCGCTCGCCGCCGCGTCGCCCTGCCCGCGCGCCGCTCGCCGCTGCGCGCCCTGCCCTGCCCGCGCGCTGCTCGCCGCCGCGCGCCGCCGCCCTGCCCGCGCGCCGCTCGCCGCTCGCCGCCGCGCGCCCTGCCCTGCCCGCACGCCGCTCGCCGCCGCGCCGCCGCCCTGCCCGCGCGCCGCTCGCTGCCGCGCCGCCCTGCCCTGCCCGCGCTCCGCTCGCCGCCGCGCCGCCCTGCCCTGATCTGCCTGTGCGCCGCCCTGCTGGCCGTTGCCCTGCTTTGCCCTGCCTGCGTGCTGCCCTGCTGCTAGCGCGCCCAACTGCTTGGCCCGCTATGGCTACCCTCAGCGTCCTCACCTTCGATCCTGAGGGCCGCCCGATTGAGTTCGATGCGTGGCTCGATGACTTACAGTTGTACTTATTGAGGGACTCTAGGGACGGTGTTTCGCTGTTTGACCTCACGTCTGGAGCCTCTCTCGCCCCTTACGCCACAGCTGACAGTGTGACTCGCTCACAGTGGCTTACCCGTGACGCTGCTGCTTGCCCAGACGTTCGCAACCACCTGCCGTTAGCCGAACGCGCTCACTTGAGCCAGCACAAGACTGCTAGAGCCCTGTACGACGTTGTAGTCGCTCGTTACTCCTCCCCGGCCACTCCTGCTCTAGGCCGCCTTATACTGCCCTACCTGTTCCCCGAGCTGTCCGCCTTTGCCACAGTCGCCGACCTCGTCACTCACCTTCGCACTAGTGACGTCCGCTACCGAGCCGCGCTTCCCGCCGAGTTTCTAGCCAAGAACCCCCCTCCCATGTACATCACTCTCTACTTCATCGTCACCCGCCTCCCTGACTCTCGTAGCGCAGTCAGGGACCTCCTTCTCGCTCGTGACCCCATGTCGGAAACTTCACCCTTTCCACTTTGTGCCTCTCTCACTGCCACCCCATGCCCCTCTGTTTCCTCCTCACTCCTGCCCAGCCCTCCCTGTCCCCTGTATCTCAACCATACTCCTCTCCTTCATCTTCCTTCACAATGTACCTCGTCTTCTCCCTCCCCTGGTTCTCCCTGACCACTCATCTCCTGTGTGCCACTTCCTCTCTGCCGCTCCATGCCCTTCCCCTTTTTGCCTCTACCCCACCTTCTCCTTGCCCTTGCCTTTGCTGTCTCCCTTCTCGGACCTTTGAGATCCATGCAGTCTGCTCCTTCCTAACTCATCCTGACTGCTTGTTATGGCTTCGTTGCTTCACTGCTTGTGTTGAAGTAATTTGCAGTAATTCACGAAAACATACATGCAGTGGCAGTCCCATGGCCCAGGAACCAACCTTAAGCTTCCCAACTCAACCCTAGCTAGCCTAGCCAAACGATTGTGGTTCTGCTGGGCTGCCTAGCTAGCCATCCACCTGGTACGTTTGCCTGCCTCCAGCTGGCCTTGCTGACTTCCAGCTCCCTCCTGGACTCGGTGTCTGCACGAGAAAACAAACACACCACACATGCACACCATACACCACACATTCGCATAACACGCCACGTCATCTCGCTGCCAATCCTGCCAGCCCATCTCCCACCAGTCCAGCCCGCCGCCCTACGTGGAGTTGCCATCCCCTTTTTCCTCGCCAGTTGCCCTCCCCTCGCCGAGTCTCCCGCCCTGCTTCACTTCTGCCGTTACGGATCCCCGCTGCTGAGTGTTTCGCTTATTTACAAATATACAAGTGTTCCTCCTTCATTCCGCTCTAGACCCTCTGTCAGCACTTCTTAGGTGTCAGCCTCAGAGTTCTGACAGCTGTAAAAAACTTTCCCCTTTCCACTTTGTGCCTCTCTCACTGCCACCCCATGCCCCTCTGTTTCCTCCTCACTCCTGCCCAGCCCTCCCTGTCCCCTATATCTCAACCATACTCCTCTCCTTCATCTTCCTTCACAGTGTACCTCGTCTCCCCCTCCCCTGGTTCTCCCTGACCACTCATCTCCTGTGTGCCACTTCCTCTCTGCCGCTCCATGCCCTTCCCCTTTTTGCCTCTACCCCACCTTCTCCTTGCCCTTGCCTTTGCTGTCTCCCTTCTCGGACCCTTCCTGCCCCCTCTCATGGCGCATTGCTGCCGTCCTCGCGCGCGTCATGGGACCCTGTGGTCCGCCGACAGGCACCTCGCGAATGGCACGACACTCTGAGGACTACACTTGCGGCTCTTGGCTTCGCTCCCTTGACTGCTGACCCTTCGCTTTTTCTGCGCACAGACACTTCTCTGCCGCCGTTCTACGTTCTTGTGTACGTTGACGACTTGGTTTTTGCTACTGCTGACACTGAGGCTCTGGCCTTGGTGAAGGCGGAGCTGCAGGAGAGACACACTTGTACTGACATGGGTGAGCTGCGGAGCTACCTTGGCTTGCAGATCACCCGGGACAGAGCACGCCGCACCATCACCCTCACTCAGTCACACATGGTGCAGTAGGTCCTTCAGCGCTTCAACTTCACCTGGTCCTCGCCACAGCCCACTCATCTGTCTACCGGCCACTCGCTCTCAGCTCCACCTTCGGACGAGTCCGTAGAGCCGAGTGGTCCGTACCCAGAGCTTATGGGTTGCCTCATGTACCTGATGACTTGCACACGACCTGACCTCGCGTACCCTCTCAGCCTTCTGGCTCGCTACGTGGCTCCCGGTAGACATCGAAAGATGCACTGGGATGCTGCGAAGAGGGTATTGCGTTACCTGTGCAGCACATCGGGCATGGGGCTCATGCTTGGAGGACGGGGTCCAGTTGTTCTCACCGGTCACTCAGACGCTTCTTGGGCTGACGACCAGACGACTCACCGGTCGACACAGGGGTACAGTTTCAGCCTCGGCACTGGTTCTGTCTCGTGGAGGTCCACTCGCTCTTCCTCTGTACTTGGTTCCAGCTGTGAGGTCGAGATCTACGTTGGGGCTATGGCTGCACAGGAGCTCCGGTGGCTGACCTACCTGCTGACCGACTTGGGTGAGCAGCCTTGTTCTCCTCCAGTTCTGTACGTCGACAACAAGGCCATGATTGCCTTGTGTCAGGACCAGAGACTGGAGCACAGAACGAAGCACATTGCTCTCCGTTACTTCCTCACGCGAGAGCTGCAGCAGTGTGGTCAGCTTCGTCTTGCTTACGTGGCCACTCGGGCCAACACTGCTGATGTCTTCACCAAGGCCATTGGGTCTAGTGATCATCAACGTTTCTGCACTGCTCTTGGGCTTGTGCCCACTCTACCTCACTTGCTTGTCTCTTGATCTTGCTCTTGTTGTACACTGATATATATGAGTATACCTGCATGCTTACATTTGCTAGGTTGTGATCAGTGTACTGCTCTTGTTATTATAAACTCTGCATGTGAACTGGCCTTGTGGCCGCTTGTTGTGCTCAGAATGCGTGGTGATCTTGAGATCCACCCTGAGCTTTGTTTTGCTTTGCTTCTTCTCTTGACTGGTCTTGTGACCGCTTGTTGTCCCTCACTTTGCCCATGGGGGTGTGTCAAAACATGTTTATATCATGTTAGTGATGTTAGGCTGTAGTGGGTTACTCCCTATGGGGTACAACCCTTTGTTAGGGTTGCTACTTGTACCACTCATCCTGCTTTAGCCAATCATTACTGTTTCCTGATTCTGACATGCTATTGTAGCCAATGCTCTCTGGACCACCGGATCCCTATTGCTGTGAACGGCCCTACTGCTGAAACTGGTGTGCTTCTGAGGAAGCACGTCGCGGACCTCAGCAACGCGTACAAGACCCAAACAGTTTTTTTTCGCCCTAAACCGCTTAACGGAGTTCGCCACATCGCCCGTCACTTTTGCCGAACTTCGCACTGCTGGACTTGGCCGAGTCGGCCTACGCTTCGGGACGAGCCCGAACCTCGCTGTCAGCATTGCACTAGCTAGCTCCCGCGCGTCGTGTTACCGTTTGTTTCTTTTGCTAAAAATGTTCGCTAGATGCCTTCACTCACATTTGTATTTCAGACCTAGCGTTGACTAAAAAATGTAATTCAGGCTTCGGGTTTTAACACCTTACAATAATACCGTAGTTGGGGCTACTATAGTGGCTTTTGGGTCTCGACTTTGGAGAGTTTCAATGTGACAATCGCCGAGATGTTCGCCGATGCGACGATCGTGATGCTCAATGACAAGCACGACCGATCGCCCATCGTCGTGTCGCTCATCGACAGCAAGACATTGACGAAATCCAGTGTTGTAGCGCGAATGTCTTGTTTGTGGTATCCGGGTGATCTCAAATCTTCTGTCTGCACGCCCAACCCCCCACCAACCCTACCGAGTGTTTACGTCCAAATAGCTAAGATCACGGTTCTGAAGTGTGGACACTTTGGTAGCAATGAACACGTCTGATTGGCTGCCATGCTCCAAGAATTCTCGCAACTTGTGCAGTGACCAATGATCAGGTGTGTTTACACGTCACTGAGGGAAAATTTTGGTTGATGGTGTCCAAGCTTCGCCCAGAACCGTGACCTAATATAGCTACGCGACCAGGAGCATTTCCGTAGCGACGAAACGCGAACCAACCAGACGCCGCCACGCATTGTCCACTCCATTCGGCACGGAAGGTTATCGGCAAGTTTGACGAGGCGCCCACGATAAAAGCATCTGAAACCTAGCTTTGTCGTAACTCCGAGTCCCCATGTGTTGGCGATGGCTTACTACTAGTACGGACCGACCCAGGCGACCGATCCTAGACGAGAGCTCGGAGAGTGTTTAACGAACGCGTAGGGCTGCGCGCGTTACAAGCTGCGCGTTTTAAGCGGCGCCTTACAAGCGGCGCGTCACAAGGGGCGCGTTACAAGGAGCGCGTTACAAGCGGCGCGTTAAAAAGGGCGCGTGGCGGCATGGGCAACTGCTGTGAGACCCCCGCCGCCGTTCCCCCCGTCCGCCCCACCGCCCAACCGCCACCCCAACTGCCCGTGGCCCAACAGCCCGCGGCCCAACAGCCCGCGACCCAACAGCCCCCATTGCGTGAGCCCCATTGCGTGAGCCCCATTCCTTCTCCCTCTGCCTGCCTTCGTTTTCCTGGGAACTCCTCATCGCGGGGGGCTCGTCACTGCGGGGGGCTCGTCACTGCGGGGGGCTCTTCACTGCGGGGGGCTCTTCACTGCGGGGGGCTCTTCACTGCGGGGGGCTCTTCACTGCGGGGGGCTCTTCACTGCGGGGGGCTCTTCACTGCGGGGGGCTCTTCCCCGCCTCCCACGGCCAGCCACCAAGTCCATCGCGCGCGCCTTTACCTCAGCTCACCACGCCACAGCTAAGCACCCACCCCCCGCTCCCCCCTCTGCCATCCCCCCAGGCCCACCCCCCTCTCTCCCCGAGTACAGCACAGCGGTACCTCAGGCCGCCTGGTGAACCCTTCTCACGCGTGCTGGGGGGAGGCCGCTTCGGGCGCCTCACCTCCCTTTTCCCCTGCCCTCCCACCTTCCCCTCCCCCCCCCACCCCCCCCCCCCCTGCAGCTGACGCGCCCGCGTCCCTGCGCGAGTTCACGACGGCGGAGATGGTGGCGGCGACGAGCAACTTCGCGCGCGTGCTGGGGGAGGGCGGTTTCGGGCGCGTGTACCACGGCCACCTCTCGCACCCCGCAGGGCCGGGCGGGTGCGACGTGGAGGTGGCGGTGAAGGTGATGGCGGCGGAGCACATCACTGGCGGCATGTCCAGCTTCCAGGTCAGTCGCGGCATGTCCAGCTTCCAGGTGGGCGTGTGATGAAGCGAACGGTGGGTGGTGCCACATTCGTATTAGGGGTGAGAGGTGCAGAGGGTGAGAGGTGCAGAGGGTGAGAGGTGCAGAGGGTGAGAGGTGCAGAGGGTGAGAGGTGCAGAGGGTGAGAGGTGCAGAGGGTGAGAGGTGCAGAGGGTGAGAGGTGCAGAGGGTGAGAGGTGCAGAGGGTGAGAGGTGCAGAGGGTGAGAGGTGCAGAGGGTGAGAGGTGCAGAGGGTGAGAGGTGCAGAGGGTGAGAGGTGCAGAGGGTGAGAGGTGCAGAGGGTGAGAGGTGCAGAGGGTGAGAGGTGCAGAGGGTGAGAGGTGCAGGGGGTGAGAGGTGCAGGGGAGAGTGAGGGCAGGGGAGAGAGGGGGCAGGAGAGAGTGAGGGCAGGGGAGAGTGAGGGCAGGGGAGAGTGGGGGCAGGGGAGAGTAAGGGCAGGGGGGAGTGGTGGTGAGCTTACACAACCGCACCCCGTTTCCTCCCCGCCATGGCCCTCTATCTCTCACAACCCCCCCCTTCCCCTCTCACCGCCCCCAGGCAGAGGTGACGCCAGCGACGGCCACGCCGCACCGCAGCATCCCGCAGCTGCTGGGCGGTGTCTCTCATGCCCCATCATCCCCCCCCTTTCCTCTCATGCCCCATCATCCCCCCCCCCCCTTTCCTCTCATGCCCCATCATCCCCCCCCCCCTTTCCTCTCATGCCCCATCACCCCCCTCCCCCTTTCCTCTCATGCTCCATAATCCCCCTCCCCCTTTCCTCGCCAATCTCACGGCCACACGTGGAGGTGGCAGCGATGACGGCCATGAAGCACCCCAGAATCCTGCAGCTGCTGGGCTACGTGTGGCATCAGCCTGCCCCCCATTCTCATGCCCCATGTCTCCCCACACGCCTCCCTCGCACGGCCCCCAGGTGGAGGTGGCGGCCATGACGGCCATGCAGCACCCCAAGATCCTGCAGCTGCTGGGCTACGTGGGGGACTCGCCCTCGCCCGTGCTCGTCTACGAGTTCATCCCCCGCGGCGACTGCACCGACATGCTCAAACTCTGTGCGTTCTGCCGCTGCTGCTGCCGCTGCTGCAGCTGCCGCCAGCGCCACTGCTGCTTTGGGGGGCGATGGGATGCGCACATGCGCTCACACGCGCACCCATCCTCACTTGCAATCGTTTCCTCTCCACTTCGCCTGCTGCCTACGTCCCCTCTTTCCCGGAACCTTTTGATTGCAGCGGCGAAGGGAGAGGTGGCGTTTCCATGGAGGGCGCGGCTGGTGGTGGCGCTGGGGTGTGCGGAGGCGCTGGCCGCCATCCATGACGCCAACTTCGTGCACCGCGACTTCAAGGCCTCCAACGTGCTGCTCCGCGAGGTGGGGGTGCTACCACGCTGCACCGCACTGAATTGCACCACACCTGACTGCACTGGACTGGACTGCGCTGCAGTGCACCACACCCCCCGTTGCTTCACACAACAGTCCTTTGCCTCTAACAGTCCCCCCAGTGCCTCACACCCCCCACCCCTCTTGTCTCTCACACCCCCACCCTTTGTCTCATAACCCTCCCCCTCCTTGCCTCACACACCCCTCTTCATGTCCCACAACCTTAACCGTGCGTGCCTCACCCCCTTCACCACGCCTCACAACCTTAACCGTGCGTGCCTCACCCCCTTTACCATGCCTCACCCCCTTTACCATGCCTCACCCCCTTTACCATGCCTCACCCCCTTTACCATGCCTCACCCCCTTTACCATGCCTCACCCCCTTTACCATGCCTCACAACCTTTACCACGCGTGCCCATGCCTCACAACCTTTACTGTGCCTCACACCCGTTACCATGCCTCACAGCCTTTACCACACCTATCCAATACCCCGTATCCCTCCCACCTCTCGCCCATCACCACACCACCGCACAGGACCTGACTCCAGTGCTGGCAGACTTTGGGCTGGCAAAGTCGGTGACGGACTGGGCGACGCACGTGAGCACACGGGTGATGGGCAGCATGGGGTACATGGACCCCATCTACTTCCAGACAGGTGAGTGATGGGCAGCATGGGGTACATGGACCCCATCTACTTCCAGACAGGTGAGTGCCTAGCCATGCACGCATGTGTGCATGTGGTCGGTGGTCAATGCACATGCATACACACACGAGCCTCTCAGTAGCATGGGGGATACGTATCCCATTAATTTCCAATAGGTGGGCCTCTCGTATTGCACGCTTGTTTAGTGGCATCTGCGCCCATCCTCTATCGTTTCTCTTAGTGGTTTGAAAATTTCCTCGGTATTGTTTGGATCCATCCTCTTTATGGCTTCTATCCTTCTTTCTGTTTAAGTGTAAATGTTTGTATGCATGCTGTAGTGTCAGCCAAACCCCACTCCATTGCAATCCCAATGCTCTCCTTGGAAATCCCAATGCCCTTGCAATCCCAATGCCCCACTCCATATTCCAATACCCCACTCTTTTGCAATCCTAGCACCCCAATTACTTGCAATCCTGGTGCCCCACTCCCTTCCATTCCCAACGCCCCACTCCCTCACATCCCGTTCTGATCTCCAAGGTCAACTGAGCCGCAAGTCCGACACGTATGCCTTTGGGGTCTTCCTCCTGGAGCTCGTGTCCGGCTGCCTCGCCCTCGACGATCGCTTCCAGGAGCTGCGAAAGCTGGTGGTGGCCAAGACCTTCCCGGACCCCGAGCTGGTGGTGGACCCGCGGATAAAGGGCGAGTGGACCAAGAAGCAGGTCTACATTGTCTTCACGCTCATTCGCTTCGCCATCTTCTTCGATTGGGATAACCGGCCGAGCATGTCCGTGATGCGGGATAAGCTGAGGACCGTTGTTGAATAGTGGCGTGACGCTGGGGGTTGGGTTCAGGAAAGGGTTTGGCGTGCACTGCTGCTGCTGGAAAGGCTTGAGGACAGATTGTTTGGGTCAGTCTTGAAATGTTACCGAGGTCCCTGCAAAGGTTAGCTGATGGGTATGCATCGGTCGGCGTTCCGTAGAGATGTGGCTTATACTGGTACGGTAATAGAGCTCTGCACCTGTATACGTACTTCGCAGGTGCTATCCGTTGTGTGACTTGAGAGTGTTCAGGTAAAACAGCGACCGTAATTCCTCGGATATCGGATTCGCAGGACAGGGTCCTCCGGGACTCTTATGCGAAAGCGGGTTTTTTATAGTCTTATGAATTTGTGAAGGGCCAGGCCCTACGTTATCGGGGTAAACGATCCGGATACTCTGATGTTCAGGGCGTGGTTCAAAGTGTCAACGTACATATGTATTTGCATGTCTATTCTTTAGGCTAGGTTGGGTTGGACTATAGAGTGTATATGTTTGCTAGACATTCCCACTCTGTGTGCCGTCATTCATCATTTCTCAGCTTTTGACAAGGTATCACGCGCTTAGGTTAGGTCACACGCTTCCGACCCGCTTACCTAGCTAGCTATCCCTCGTGCCCTCGCGGCCCCACCTACCTACCTAACTCCCTCTGGTGGCCCTGTCGGCCCCGTAGGCCCCGTCGCGCCCTGTAGGCCCAGTCGGCCCCGTCGCTCTTCTTCGGCCCCGTCAGCCCCGTAGGCCCCTTCGGTCCTGTAAGTGCCCCATCGCCCAGTCGCAGCCCCGTCGCCACCTCGCCACAACCCCGCTGTCCCACCCCGTCGCGGCCCCGCGCGCCGTCGCGCCCCAACGCACCTGCCGCGCCTTCCGCGCTTGCTGCGTGCCCGCCGCGAACATGCCGCACCTGCTGCCGCTGTGCCTGCTGCGTGCCTGACGCGCCTACTGTCGCCGTGCCTGCCACCCCTGCCGCCGCCGCGCCTGCCGCCGCCACGCCTGTCGTGCCTACTGCGCCCGCCTCGCCTTCTGTGCCTGCACGCCTGCCTGCGCCTGCTGCAGCCGCGCCGCCCGGCCGCATTTGCCGCCGTGCCTGCCGGAGCGCCTGCTGGCGCGTCTCCTCCTCTTAGCTGTCGACGCCGGAAGTCCTCCTCGAGAATTTTGGTGCGCACCCATTCCATGGTCCAAAGGGTCTGATTTTGTGGCAGATTCAAACCGCTAGTAAACTGTAGCCAGGACTCCGGTAGTAGAGACAGCATCTTTAGGCACTTGGCCTGTTCCAGATAGGAGATTCATGCAGCTGTGAGTTTGGCGTAGAGATCCCTCATCTTGTCAATTACGCCTTGCACCGGCTTGCCCTCACTGAGCCGCACCGACGACAATTCTCGCTCCAGCATCAAGGATCGTCTGCTCAGAACACGTTCGCGGCGCGTGTTAGAAAACGACAAACTCGATGTGCGAGCAGGATCAGATCGGCGCCATCGATTTCTGTCGGTTTGAGAAGCAGCGAGCTCGAAGCGTGAACATAATTTTCGAGCTGTGATTGCTCGATCGAACAGTCGAGTCAAACCGAATATGAACTGCACCGTCGCTCCCCATTGGCCAAAAACTCTAACCCCTTGATCGCTCGATAATAAACGACTCGCCCCAGCACTGCAGAAATGATTGGTGCACTCCCCCATGATAATAACCTACTGATTGAGATACATAAAATTAATTCTGTATTAACACACTCCCCCTCAATCTGTCGGTTGTATCACCGATGACACTTAGTTCATGCTCATACCGCTCATCCGCGCACACCGCTAGTGGGGTTCGTCGGCTAGTCGTTTGGTCACGAAATCCGCCGGCTGCTGCTATGTCGCCGTCATCTCCACCTCTCTATTGGCAGCGACGGAAATCCTCCTCCGGAATCTTCGTCCGCACCAACTCGAGCGTCTACAGGCTCTTCTGAGTTTTAAAGCCACGATACGGGCAGTAGCGAGAGCATCTTCAGACACTTGGTCTGCTCCGGGTACACGATCCCCGCAATCACCAACTTTGCGTAAAGGTCACGCATCTTGTCCAGGACAGCCAGCACTAGCTCTCCCTTGCTCAAGCGTAGCTCGGACAGCTCCTTCTCCATCATTAGCGTCGCGGCAACGGAGGTCGGGGTGTGAGAGTACAGCGGCTATGCTTACCCATTCTTGCTTTTTTTCTATTTTGACTTATCGTTTTATGCTGGTTTTCCTAAAATCGCTGCTTTTCTATATTTGTTATAGTTATAGCACCGATTTAGGGTGCGTGCAGCAAATACTGCTGAATTTTGATCAATCCCGCATGACTTTGCGCTTGCGTGATTTCGGTCGAGTTTCTTCTACCGAATTCGGGAAAGTTCCATTCCCGACAGTTCCCAATGCATATAACATTCCCGTAACATCCTGGTTACATGCCTTGTATCGTGCATATATATAGCCACGTAGTTGTACGCAGGATTCATATTATAATTTCTGAACTCAATCCTTCGATCCTCACACTTGGTACTCAGAGCCAGTTTTCACTCGGAATTCTTCAACCGCTAAGGACGTGTAACCATTTTGCCCCCGACGGTTCGAACCGTGGACCGTCCGGTCGACGAAACGGTTACTAGTTTCGCAATTTCTCGTTTAGATGTTCGTGAATGCTTGTGCGACATCGCTAACAATTCGAACCGTGGTGACACTTTTTCCTTCTTTCAACGGTTCAGAATGTGAACCGCGGGCAGTCCGAAACCAAAACGGACAGTCCGCCAGTCCTGGCTAGAGATTGGCGCGCGAAACCCAATCTACATAACCTCTGCCGATTGGCGGACGAAATTTGATTACGAGCTGTCGCGAACCACGTTACGAGGATATACCGCCTCTAACGAGGCTACAGTTCTTGCCAAAATTACGAGCAAGAAAAATGTGTTACTTTCCTATCAGGACGGGGGCAAAGTACCGAAACGTCAAAACGGACGGTTCTGTTCTCGTTAGTTGGACCATCCGTATCAAAATATGAGGACCGTCCGCAAAAACGGAAAAAAAATCAAAATGGTTACACGCCCTAAAACCCAGCCTTAAAAAAATCGTGCGGGCGACGACATTCACGCCGATTCAGGTACGTAAAACCAGTTCCGCGCTAAATTCTAATCCCCCTCAAAACCGGTTTCCGAACAAGCATGTCAGGCATGGAGGGGAAATGCACCAATTTCGTACAGGAACTCGACGCACTTCGTGCGGAACAAGTGTAGACGCGCGCGACGCTTCAACGAATCGAAACGATGCTCGCGAACCAGTCAGCAGCCGCCACAGTAGCTACAAACATAACAACAACAGCAGCAGCAGCGGCAGCGACGCCGACATTTCAACCTGCAACAACTGTGAGAAAAGCAATACAATGATCACAACCTACCAAGTGCAAGCATGCAGGTATATGTATAGAGATCACAGTACAAGCAGAGTCAAGAAGTAAGCAAGTGAGGCACAGTAGGCACAAGGCCTAGAACAGTACAGAAACGCTGATGATCACAAGGCTGGAGTGCCTTGGTGAAGACATCAGCAGTGTTGGCCTAAGTGGCCACGTAAGCAAGACGAAGCTGACCACGCTGCTGCAACTCTCGAGCAAGGAAGTAGCGCAGAGCGATGTGCTTTGTTCTGTGCTCCAGTCTGTGCTCCTGACACAAGGCAATCATGGCCTTGTTGTCGACGTACAGCACTGGAGGAGAACGTGGCAGCTCTCCCAGGTCGGTCAGCAGGTAGGTGAGCCATCGTAGCTCCTGTGCAGCCATGGCCCCTGCGTAGATCTCAGCCTCACAGCTGGAGCTGAGAACAGAAGAAGAGCGGGTAGACCGCCAAGAAACAGAGCCGGAGCCAAGGCTGAAGGTGTAACCCAGTAACGACCGCTGCGTAGCCAAGTCGTCAGCCCAAGAAGTGTCTGCGTGACCAGTGAGGACAACTCGAGCCCGTCCTCCAAGCACGAGCCCCATGCCCGACGTACTGCACAAGTAGCGCAACACCCTCTTAGCGGCATCCATGTGCTCCTTCCTGTGACGGCCAGGAGCAACATAGCGTGCTAGGATGCTAAGAGGGTATGCAAGGTCAGGTCGAGTGCAGGTCATCAGGTACATGAGGCAGCCCACAAGCTCTGGGTACGGGCCACTCGGCTCTACGGACTTGTCCGAAGGTGGAGCTGAGAGCGAGTGACCGGTAGGCAGAGGAGTGGACTGAGGCGAGGAGTACGTGAAGCCGAAGCGCTGAAGGACCTGCTGCACCATGTGTGACTGAGTCAAGGTAATGGTGCGCTGTGCTCTGTCCCGGGTGATCCGCAAGCCAAGATAGCTTGTCAGCTCACCCAGGTCTGTGCACGTGTGTCTCTTCTGCAGCTCCGACTTCACGTGGGCGAGTCCCTCAGTGTCAGAAGTAGCAAAGACCAAGTCGTCTACGTACACGAGAACGTAGAACGGCGGCAGAGTGGTGTCGGTGCGTAGAAACAGCGACGGGTTAGCAGTAGAAGGAGCAAACCCAAGAGCAGCAAGAGTCGTCCTCAGTGTGTCGTGCCACTCACGAGGTGCCTGGCGGAGACCGTAGACTGGCCGCCGGAGGCTCCACTGGGTACCAGGAGGAAACGACCCAGTGAAGCCAGGTGGGCGGCGCAGCCAGATCTCCTCGTGCAGGCTACCCTGTAGGAAAGCAGTGCTGAAGTCAAGAGAGTGGAGCTCGTAGTCACACTGAGCGGCGACGTGCAGCAGAACCCGAAGAGTGGTCATCTTTGGAGTAGGGGAGAAGGTCTGGAAGAAGTCAACTCCCTCACGCTGACTGAAGCCTCGTGCAACGTAACGCGCCTTGAAGACAGGCGGAGAACCCGGCGGCCGCTTCACCCTGAAAATCCACATGCCACTGACGATGTTCGCCCCAGGCGGGGGAACCTCGTCGACGTAGGTGCCTGTGGACTTCCAGGAAGCCATCTTTGCGTCCATGGCTGACTGCCACTGAGAGGAGAAGGGACCCTCTATCGCCTCT